CTCCCTACCTTATCCAGAGCCTCTCGCTCCAGCAGGTCCTGCACTGCCAATATCTTGATGCTGCAATGAGAGACAGAGGGAAACGTTTTACATTCATGCTTCGTCATTTTAACAACAGACTGAAAAAACTGTTTCCTCACAAGGTTTTTAAATTTAAAATCACAGATTTTGTGCAGCAGTTGGTCTATTTTTCCTTTTTGCTGTTCATCATCTAAGATCTGTTACCAAGCTGGATGAAAACCATCTAGAACATGTTGGGAGGTTTGGTTTACACTGCTAGGACCTGGCCGGCCCCTCCCTGATCCTGATCCTTGAACTGGTAGAGCTACCTGTACTGGGAGGTCTTCAGGTCTCCAGACGAGTAAAGGACGTTTCCAAGAAAACCAGCTGCTGCTCAAAACAGGCAACATGTTGCTTCATTCCCCGACAGCATCGTCTCCACGGCCCCTGGAGCCCATATGGTTGAACCCTTTACAGGGATTTTTGGCTAAAACCCAGAACAGCCTCAGAATCTACCCTGAGAGATGGAAGGTGCACACACAGCCGGGCGCCAGAACCCTGGACTGGTTCCCTTTACAGGCGCTGCAGTGTTTTACTGTCAGACCTGGACTGGACCGGGTCCAGGTGGGAACTTAAGCCCAGATTGGTTTTCTCTGCTAGCTTAATGTGAAACATTTAATGTCTAAGCTGCACCTCTCAACAAGCATGTTGCTTCATTAAAGGCCGTTCAGCACCTGAGCGCCGTTCCACTCATGAAACCTGAACCCCATGGATCTACCGGCCTCCTGGAGGAAAGGCACTAAGTCACAGCCATCGACCCATTACTGGACTTTACAGCCCAGTAAAGCTTTATCTGCTGGCATCAGAGGCATTCTCTAAACCAACAGTCAGCTCAATAAGAGGCGGGGGGGGGGGCTGTGGGACCTGCATTCAGAGATAAGGAGACAGATCAGATAAACAGACGAAGCAGAAATCCATTAGTTCTGCTACGGTTCTGTGAACTGTTCACCCATCAGTGCCGCAGCTGATCTGCAGTGCTGCTGCAACACGACATGAACCCCCCACCACACACACACACACAT